AAGTCTTGAAAAAAATGGCTAATAAAAAGGTTGTCAGTGTAGTTAAAGTCGACAGCGTATTTCAGCTCTTTATATCGATGGAGCGGTAGCACCATAAATACAGAGTTTTAAGTTCTAGATATTCGCTAATGGCCGCGACGCATGATGTCCACATTGATCGTACTTTGGCTTCATGTTGCTGCTGTTGATACATAGACATCGCAAAACGGATAACATCAGTATAAAATGCTAGATAGCCTGGTGCCGAAGAAGCCAAACGCCATATCTAGCACGATACGAAAATGTTTTGACCTGTTTTTCTTTTGAAAGTCATGGGACTTTCTGGAAGCAACATAAAGCCGACAGGCAGAAAATAGCTAGGTTAGCAAACAAGACTTCGCATGAAACGTAATCCATCAATTGATACATGACATTTTCACTCCGTTTAAAATGAGAGGAATATTTTTTACGTTTTTATTCGAATAAAAAGCTAACACCAGCTACTGTGTTATTTCTCATAGACAATATAATGCAGATAGATAATCTGGATATTATAATCTAGATAAATGCAGACGTTTATTTTGCAACTCAGATATAGAATCGAATTCTGTAACCATTTACCAACTGAGTCTATTCGAACGTCATATATAGGTAAAAATAATTCTGATGTAGAAAAAAATACACACATGTGAAAAGAAAAACAACATATTCCGAAACCCCACAAGTCGTACTAAATAAATGCACTTAGAGTTCACTTCAGCTTCATACATGCGGAATCAAGTGTGCCTTCTTCAGTTTTAAAGATCATCTTACGCTAAGTCTCTAAGGCTTCAAGAACTACTGATATTGCAAGACAAATATGAGAAAGAGTCTACGCTGTGTCAAAACAAGGATACACACGTGGAAAGAACAGATGCGAGAAGCCACTGTAGATAAATCAGGCCACGCCTGCTTGTAGCAATGCGCTCAATACACTGGAAAACGATCGTTAGCTCGTCATCTTAACCGCTCCAATAAAGGGACGTAAATTGTACATACTTTGTAGATAATTCGATTTATGAAATTCGCTGCTTTTCTGTTATACTCAAGGTACGAACTTCGCATGTAAACCTATGTAGATCATCGTGATCTTGATATGAAATAGGATACATTTGAGAACTTTTCTCGGCCATTACTCTAGGAAGCTTTACGTGATTGCGCTCGATAATTGTTTGACGAAGCAATTGAATAGCCAGGATCTTTTGGATAAATGAGGCTAGATTTTAAAAACAGGCCGTAAACAGTAGCTCAACTGATACAGTCGATGCAGACCAGTGTCCAAATATGGCTTCTTTAGTCTTTCCTAGAGTCTCTTCGACACCGTCTTGAGATAAACGTTCTTATGGCAGATTCCTAGCTAACGGTTCATGTGTTAACGGATACATACGTTCGATGTAGTCTAAAGCAAGGAATTGGCCATTGTATGGCTTTGTTCTTCTTTGGATTTCCCAGCAAATAAAGGTAATTAACTATTATTACTTGCATAACCTTGTTTAACCACACTACTTTTTTCGCTTAAAATAAGAAGATAAACGAGAAGCCAACAACTTCACAAACCGCGTTTAATTAAAAAAAAAAAATCAAACAGTTAGCGAATATGTGAATTGATATAAACGTGATAAACAATGAAGAATAGAAGACTAAATTCTTTATGATCGTTAAGACTATTATCACTGCTATTATTGCGGACTTGCAAGCGACCTTTTCGTCTAAGCACTGTTCCGCGCCTTAGGACGAAGAAATAAACGAATAATTAATAGTTCGCTTAATTCATTAACGTATGTGTTAATCTGCTGCTGAGGTCAGTTTTGCTTGGAATGTCCCTGCGACACTGGCTGACCTCTAGCTTTCGCTCAAAACCATTCCAGCCAGTCGCGAGACGGTGGTCGACCGGGGGTAATGGAACTACGAACGTAAGGGAGCAAAGCAGAGCTGAAGCCAAGACTACTGCTTGACAGACTAACACAGGAGTTAGGGGAAGGACCTGTTCAACTGCGGCGACATTGTCGTTCATCAAGGCACAATTTGCTCCATTGGGTGACCTGCCATCCAAAGCGAGCGCGACATGCCGACCGGTATTGCCCCTGGATGATGCGGCATTTATCCCTTGACAGGAAAACTCTGCTCGGGGCAGAGGTACCGTGACTAGGAGTGGCTGCTTCTACGAGTACGTGCGTTAAGATAAAGAAAAAAAAAAGTCTGGTTTATTAGCTATAGTGCTAAGCGGCTCATAACTATGGACGTAAACACAACTGTATCTCCGCTAACGCTATTTCGAGTCGACGTGCTGGCGTGTTATACGAAAGACGTTATAATTAGAAAGGAGATTGGATGATTAACGATGAGGGCGCAGCGCAGGAATGGGAAAGTCTGACCAACTGAGAAAAGCGTCCTTATCGAAATAACTACAGAAATAGCGGGTAGTATTTGTTGTTGTCATTGCGGTGTCCATTGCTGCTTGCTGTTCTCGTTGCGGTTCCACTTTCGGCAACTGAGTGCCTTTGCAAAGCGCATGGCACTACTTCGAAAGCGGGTAAAGACACGCCCAGTGCGATAGAATTCCGTATCCACTACAACGTATTTAGTAGACTGTCCGCAGCTCTGGCGGCAAAACCTCTCAGAAGTGTCACAAAAAGCAGCTGCATTCTCAACTCATTCAATTAGTTCTTGCAAATAGTCGTAAGCTATACGAGCTCCTACATCAAGCAAATATGGTGTACAAGCTTTATCCTACTCGCTTAAAAAAGCTTCTCAATTTAAAAGCAGCGTTCTTAAATGCACGGTAAGTGCCTGTATGATGCAAGCAAACGTTACAGATAAGGTCAGGCTCGCGTTCTTCGGAGATGCGGGTTGCATATAAGGCTCTTATTTAGAAGGGGAGTTTCCTCAAGGATTCTCGACTTTATATACTCCCTCTTTCTACGTTCTACGGCCTTACCTAGTTAAACGGGCCAGTGTGCAAGTTCTCTTGCATGTGCCAGCAAGCGCCCATCCAATATCCCATTATACCTCAACCTCATACATCCCAGAGCCTCAGTACCCTCAGGGTTCCTTAACGACCTTTGTGTGCTAGTCGACGAGGCAGCTCTGGCTTAATTTATTACAATATATCAGCTTCAAACATATTCCTACCGCATTTGACGCGGTCTATAATAAACACATTTTATTAGTCTTAGAATGTAGTGCAACGGTTTGTATCATGTAAGGCGCGGCCCAACGCGGCCGTTCGCTGTGGAGGTCGTCTGGGCTCCAGATTAGAGAGGGTAAACGAAGTGCCTCAGACTCTTCCAGCATCTTGACCCTTCTCCTTTAGCTCCTCTTTCTAAAGGAATGGATCGAGAAGGGGAGCTTATAGAGCTTACGCACGATTTACCCAATCTGGCTAGAACATATTAAACTGGCAAACTCAAGAAAGGGCTTATATCGAATTTGCAGGACTCCTTATACATGTAAACAGATTTAACTACAACGACGTGCCTTTTATATGGCCCCCCTATGTTCTTTCGGTTCCATCTACTCAGTCGCCGTTGCTGTGCCTCTTCTGCTTCGCAGAACAGGCTGGCTTTAGTTAGTGCTGGAAAGGAAAGCTTAGAGAACATTTAGGAGGAGGTTTTGTAGACACGCTAGAAAGAAAAATTTAGACACTTCAAGTAGGAAAAATACGAGAGAGAAATCTAATGTAAAAGGTTTCTGTGCGGACCCTCGGATCATATATGGATTGAGTAGCCTCATTTATTACATATGGTACAGTGACATAAAGGACATTGACCTTAAAGAACAAATAAGGGCAAGCACATAGTTTCTGAGTTTATCATTTAGCCTCGAAAAAGGGTTATTGTGCCGCTTTTTTAGGGCGTAACAAGCTAACGATCTGATGCTAGTTCTCACCTACGTATTGCATAGAACTGCTACATGTAGACTATCATCTTATTATGCTGGGATGTCTTTCCATCGCTTCGCTTACCTTTGAAAAATAGGCTTGAGATTACTAAAGTTTTTGCTGGAATTAATCAAACTATCGTGGTTCTTTCTTTTTCATATCTATTAACAACCTCAAGTCGTTTTCAAACAAATCTTACAAGTGTTCTATTCTGTGTACATTTTCTATTTACACCTTCAAGGCGGTTGTCTAGTTCAGGGAACAGACACTAACTGTTACGAACATTGAAATACGGCAAGATTCTGCTATAAGCTTCAAGTGAACGGCTCCACTGCTAAATAATTTTTATAACATTATCTCAATACTTTGTTCAGCATTTTCTGCCCAGACAACAATAAAAGACTATCCTGGCTATTTCTTCTTTGATGTAAAATGCATGGTCTCCCAAGTACGATAATTTATCAAGGCATGACATTGAAATAAAGAGATGGATCCCCAAACGAAGCAGTGCAAATTTTCATCTAAATGAAGTGAACGGAAATAACTACGTGGTGAAAAGTAACTGCCAACCTACAACAACGTATATATCTAAGCTACCTAAATTTCTAGAATTGTTTTTGCTATCCGACAGGCGAAAAACAGCTTCGACTCGAAAGGCAGAAGCCCAGATGACCTAACTCAATTGTCGTACAATAATAATGAGAGCACTGGCACTATGTGGCGGGCCGTTGGCCATTGCTCTAGTGCCTGAACATTTTCATACCCTTATAGACATTATTCATTCCGATTCGCCATGTACCGTGTAGGAATATTATTGTTGCCAGCGACGCCAGTATTGCTTATCGTCCACACTTCCTTTTAGGAATAGTTGGGAACTCGCAGGCAACAGGTACAGCACGTAGCAAATCGTGCAAACCGTTTAACCTCCCTCCTTCTCTTCGGTCTCACCGCTCAAACAATCCAGGTTGGCTATTTCAACCCCTACTACCACACCTATTTGAATAAAACGACGGTGGCAGCAATTGTCCCGTCGCCAGCGTGGCCTGCTGCGTGCCAGCGACAAAGGTTTCTATAGCTGCTGTTTCTGGGAGAACAGGCCGCTTACCTCTTGCCTTGCTCTTGCGCGGTGCCACTAGAAATAGCCTACCATCTAAACCATCTCCCTAAGGCCAGCCGACGAGTAGTTGACGGACTGGTAGTTCTCGATGAATGGTCGACTGCTGGTAAATAATTGGCTTCTCATTTCGCCAATATGCCAATCTCGTCATCCCACCTTCGCCGTTTTCACTGCCAGCAGAGATACGGTACTGATGATAGTGAAGGAGGCGACGACATGTGCCCGGCCAGTGCTGGCGGTGGCGGTAGCCCATAATACAGGTGGGTCGTTCGCCGTTGCCCCTGTTGTTGTTACCGATGAACGGAGCCAAGAAGCAGCCCATAATTTTCTACACAACAGTTAGCCAGAGGACACCGAAGACCTGGCGGAAGGCTCCGCATCCCCTGTACTGCAACAGAACCTCACTCGCAGCGATGCAGTTAGAGACAAATGTGAAAGCATTGCTACATGTATGAAGAGCCGAAACTACCTTTTTCGAAGTACAAAAAGCTAGTTTCATGTTTCGGTAGGCCTGTGCACTACAGCTTAGTTTGTCTGTCCGTCTATATACTATGTGTCTCAATGTGTTTGCGTGTATAATATGACGGCGTATATCTAATATATGTCCATATCCGCTATATCTTGTTATCTGTGTGTCGTTTTTGGGGGGGGGGGGGGGGCGCTGCTGCTCCCTTTATCAAGTACATTGTGGGTTTGAGCCTATGTGTGTAAGTCGTAGACTCTCCGGTCTGTCTTGTATGAGCGAACGGATGCTTGAGGATCGTTTACACGTATGCTATTAGTGCTGCTCCTGTTGTTGTTACCACTCTAGTTACGTTACCGTGTACCGTTACCACTAGCTGTCGGTTGCAGGCCGCAGACTGTAGATTGTAAGTCGCAGGCCAGCTTGCAGCAAGCTTTGCAGGTCAAGTGCTGTTGCCCTCAGGGACAGGTATGTATATTCTGTATCTTCGATAGCCACTGGTCTCATAGCCATATAATGTTGACGGATAGATAGATGGAAGATAGTCTAGGTTCCCACCGACTGTGGCTCAATAGGACACGTATGTACGCGGCATTGCATGCGGGTAGCGTGCAGGTAGTATGTATGTCTGCGTCGAACAGCTGTTACTACCCTTGCACGTTGCACGCAGATACGTACTAGTTTCTCTTGGTGGCAACAGCTCAATAGAGTAGGATAACCTGGATGTTCTAACCAAAGTCTACATAGTGCGAGAGTCACTCAGAGCAACAACGGGATAGAGAAAAAAGGAAATACAGGGAAAAGCCTGCTGGCTAAAACCCGCTCCTGTCTAGTCGATGCTAAGATTACATGTATAATATATACGTCTGTGTGTTCGGGGACGATAGCTGATGCGTCGGTCGTAACGCTGGGGGCTGGTCATTGCTAGATATGGGTCGCTGCTTTCGCTGTCACGATGTCGCTTTCCTGATGTTGGTAGATAGAAGAGGCGTAAAACGATGACGGCCTCTCATAACAGCTACCCCGCCATCGTTGATGTACATTATGCAGTACCGACATAAAGAAGACGAGTGGTGAAGCGGCAAACGGGGTGAGGGGTTGCTGTCACAGTATGAGTAACATTCGAAGCGGTGTTCTGTCTTTGTTCCTAGTAGATGCCGGTAGTTACCTGGCTAAAGCAACTATTTCTTACCCAGCCGCTGGAGTTGTACGCGTAGTTGTCGTCAACAGTGCGGAAGAGGTGGCGGTAGCCGTTGTTTTCCTCTGTCGCGTCTTTTCCCGCCGACATACTCGTCTTCGTGTGGCCACAATTGCAAATAATGGACATTCTTCGCCTGACGCTCTCTCAGCTCAGCCGCGCTCACGCATTAGTGGTAAATGCATACTTCAACTAATTGACATTTCTCTCTCTCTCTCTCTCTCTCTCTCTCTCTCTCTCTCTGTCTCTTTTCCATAGGCAAACAGACATGGCGCATCCTTGTTCGGGTGTCGTGCGCAAGCTCCTTTCTGTACTCAGGGCAGCTCCTAAGCAGCTTGTCTCTGCACATGATACAAAACATTTACAGCCTCCCCCCGCTTTGCCTTTCACGTTCCGTAATGAATACAAGGTACGCATATATATGTACAAATGCGTAAACATTCACATGCTGAGTAATGATTCATTTATCCATATATTCAGCATTGGAATATCACCTTTTAGTATTGTCTATAATACACCCCAGACTAGTCCCCCATAATAGTCCCCAATAATATATTGACATTTTATTGATCTTTTGTGCTATTTAATATGATACAAAAGGACTAAATCATCTAAATAACTGGAAATGGTAGGTATGAGCGACCATCTTAGTGTGCTACGTACTTCGAAATGCAGAATTTCGCAGGGTCAAAGCGGTATGGTACAGTTAAAAAGACAGCAGGCGTCAATTCTGTACCCAGACAATTCATGTCGGTTTCTTGCTATTGCTGCTGTTCGTTCAGCGAGATGAAACGAACATTGTATATAATTTTATTAGGTTGGCTTGCTTTAAGATGTGAAAATAAACACATTGTATCACGCAAATATATTTTTTTCGATAATAAGTATTGATTGCTTTTATATCGTATCGCTTTATCATAAATTGCGTTTTCTAACCCGATCATTTTCAAGTGTGAAATAATGTTTAAGTAAAACCCCCTTCAAAACAGTAACCCAGTCATGTTCGTTTAGCTTCATATTCTCTAAGACGAAATTGTTTCCATTATTTCAATTAGGATCAATACTTAATAATCCTAATAATTGATTTTTCAAAATTACACGAAAAAATCACGCGAATACACTGGTCCAATTTTTTTTTATTAAGGCTGAGGAAGATTTTTGTGTATACCTATTCAAACGTAATCCTTTCTTTTAATAGTTTAACGATATGTTACAAGTTCGCGCCTATTTTGTACCACGTTGCTAGCTTAACTCGAATGACAAAAACCATATTTTTAGGTTAATAAGCATGTCAACAGACATTCGGTTCTCTGAGCTCTGCCTGTAAGCGAGTGATGAACTAATTTAAGCATTGGATGGGTCCAAAACACCCAAGGAACAGTTAAACGATGGTAGCATGGGTAATTTCATTAAACTTTTTTTCGGCATATGGAAACGTACCAACAACATAATCCACATTTACGGCCTCCAATAGAACAGACTGTAGCAGAATCAGATATTTGTGCTCTGTTTTGCCATTATCAAATGCTTTTTGCTGGAGCCGGCATGTATTAGTCAACTATTCCAGAAACGATTCATGGAAGGCTGCCTTCTCGATATGGATCAGAAACGACAGACAGGCTTTCCTATACTATCATATATATGTGTGGACTATTGTGGGATGAGGGCCGTCATGCTATCTGCCATATACCTGTGTAGTGGCGGTGCCAGTAGAGTCGTTCTTTTCGGCTCGCTGGCTGTTACCCATAGCTGAAGCGCTAAAACCTACCTGGTGAGGCTATGCGAAGCTTCAGCTCATCGCGGCCAGCCATGAGGAGTCGACCGTTCAACCGCTCCATAGGTAAGCCGCCGACGGTGGCTGGTGGCCGTGGCTCTTACCCCGACCAATCTCTTTTTTCTACCTTATTCGTGTCCGGTCCTTCGTGATCGTTCTCTCACGCTGGCCGGCCGACCGGCGCCGCTGCTGGACAGCACAATGGACTTCCTGAGGAAGTCCGTTTTCTCCGCCTCTGGCAGAGAATGGAGGCAAGCAGACCCTACCGCCGTCGTGGCTACGGCGCAGCTGGCAAGAGAACCACGTTATCTCGGCGGTCGCCTAGCAACGCGTGTTGCAGCGCCGTCTACGCTTCGCTTCTGTCGTCTTTTCAGGGCAACATGGTGGCCAGGGACAACATGGCCACAGGCCAACCGCAACTATTAGGAAAAAGGTGCAGTCTTCCCTAAGAGCACGCATATAAGTAACATTATATATATCCGAGCGTACGACATTCATTTGAACCGTCAGTTTGCGACATGGCTGCTTGGATATAAGCCACCATTCAGCACTTTTTAGTTGCTATTTGAGATTATAGAGCTTGCATTATGTGGTAGTGATGTTGTCGTTTTTATCATTGCCTTTGCTGCATTTGTTTTTAGTTTTGCTCGTCTTCTGGCCATGTCCCCAGAACTAAACGCCAGCTCTGAGTTCGTCTGCGATAGGTCGCGTGAGGTTTTGTCATCGACGTCGTAGTTATGGAAATTTGGATTTGGTGGAGTGAAGCGTTGCTTAGAAGTCAGCCTAAGAATAGAAGCACAACGAAAGGTTGTTGAAGGAAAATAAATGTTTTAATTGCAGAGCTGATTCACAGCACTGAAAGAACACAAGTATTCGCTTCTTTTATTTAGCCTATTAAACACATATGTCTAGAGCTCCTCCTCATGTCCAAACTGGTTCTATGCAATTACTTTAAGTTCAACACTGCTGTTCGGGTTTTCGATCGGGGTAATAAAGAAAGTATTACCAACTGCAGCACTAGGGTATTTAATGTGTAAATCAAAATGTTGTTCATTTGCATGCTTAACAAATAAATTTATGCACGAGTAAAAGTCTATTCATTTTCGACTCGTTCCTAGATATCTGTACGTTGGATATAAACTCACAGAGAAAATGAAAGCGGAATTTTTAGGTCGTAACTAGGTACCTTGGCAGAAGCAGTCCACAAAAGTTTCGTCAGACGCTTTTGAGACCGATACATACCAGGATAATCGCTACACTATCACTAAGTACATGAAGTACTTTGCTTCTTGTCATCCAATCGTCTGTACCATTTTGAGGTTTTTGTGTGTTAAAGATTCCCAGCTTGGTCTGTTTTCGACCTGCCTAAATAATAAAAGCAGTGCACGCCCTATCACTCAAAATGACAGAAAGGCGAACTGGCTCTCTGCAAGGGCATCATCCTACATAGCAATAAGCCATCCAAACTTTAGAAATTTGCGCCTGAGCGTCAAGTTATGATGACTTGCAGCGATAGGGAACACATAGCTTCAACTCGATGTTTTTCCGGTCTCTTAATCATACCTGGCAGGATTTTGAACGCCTTTGACAAGCCGCAGATAACCAACCCTAACTGGGCAGCAGGTGGTGTTTACGCTTTTCTTTTCTTTTCTCAAGGTGTTTTCAAATACTTCGCATTATAAACAATAAATCATCTTTCGTGTGTCCTTCCTATATTTCCTCCGGCTAATGATGAGCCGTCTACACTAGCTGTCGATGTTAGATTAGTCTATGTGATTCCTTCTGAAACACGACAGACTTAGCTTTATAGATCTTTTCACGCAGATACATCTTATAGCTCATAACATTGAGTTATTTCACAAAAAGCACTGGTAGACATCGTTTGCGGGCAGTTAAAATGCGGGCAGTGTGAGTACCTCGTAAAGCAACTATGCTAAATTCTAGCCACCCGCTTGGATTTCGAGCTTTTGATGTCCAGCGCCCCTTCGTAAAATAATTAGAATAATTGTATCAGACGATACCATTACGTTCGTAACAATATTAAAAAAGAGAAAACCTGCTAATTAAAACTCTTGAATAATAAATATTTTCTACAAGCTATATTGTTAGAGCCTCATCATCATCATCATCATGCGAGATACTGCATGAGATACGTGAAGCCCAACAGAAGGTCTATATGAAGTTTTTCATTCGAGTTCGAACAATTACGCCAGTCGATTGCTTTCACCTCTATGAAAACAACGATTTCCCAGCGCAACAAACAATGCTCGCCATCGCCGATTACGAAAGGCATTCACCTAACTACTGATGGGTAATAAAACAACTGTCGATTAGCTGAATAAGTATTTCTTCCACATTGGCGCCATACATCGATAGATTTTCCCTGTACGCCATTTTCTGCTATACATGATCTTAAGTTGACATCGGACGCTTTTAAAATGCTTTTGATGAGGAATGCTTTTTTGAAGTTCTTCAAGGTGCCCATAAGCACTGCATTTCTGAAACAGCTGAAGTTCTTTACGAAAATGCCCTGCAGTACTGGATAAGAACGCTCTGTTTTCGTAATTTTGCACGCCCGAAAACACTCAGGACAGAGGTCACAGTCCCATTGCGTAAACATTGAGATAAACTCTGTTCCAGAAAAAAAATGCGCATTTCCTGCCTAATTTTTCTCACAGAAATAGTTTGTCGATAATTTTAAGACCACCTACACGCTTTCCACGACGCTGAGCTTGGTTCTAGGTACATCAAAAATGGTGAAACGCCGATACTTCGAACTATGAACATTTTTCTTAGACGGTTTAACTAGCCCAGCGGTACCTATTGATGTCTTTGGAGCTCTAGATAAAGTGCTTGACCGTCTGACCTTATGAGCTCAGCCATGAGGATGTGCGTGCTATATGCCTTAGGCTGCACAAAGCAGATTGCATTCGCCGAACTACTGATGGTAGTTTCGTACATCGCAATGTTTGTGAGGAATTATTGTCTTACTGGCTAAATACAATAAAAACGCTTTTTAAAATCACCCGCGTTTTGACCTGCTATTATACGTTTCCGGTTTATATGTGAACCGGAAAACGGTTTGATTTGAACCGGAAAGTGTTTTATTATGATCGGTATCTTTTCCTTTCCTTTGTCCACCTTTACCGAAAAAAAAGTATTTAAAGCTCTTGGCACCCATTGAGTCCTTGTTCGGCAGGAACTATTTTAGCCTTAATGTTGATCAAATGGAATACTAATACTGGATGATGCGTAATTTGTATGAATCTGTTTTCTATTCATTAGATTAGAAAACTAGCCATGTACAGGACAGTTGTATCTTGTCAAAATAAAAATGTCTTCGATGAATTAGCGGTTCTTTTTGCGACTAACTTTTGTGCCTAAAAAAAAAAAAAAAAAAAAAAAGAAACAGAAAATGACTGGATGATTCCTGCTTTGAACAGTTCTGTAAAATAGTGAGGAAAAATAGTTGTTTGATCGTCGAATTTTCAAAAGGTGGCTGTTTGATCGTGTGAACGTTATAAGTAGATCCAAGATCACAGTGATGAATATGATGCGTTTTTAAAAAAATAAGATCTAAACTTCAAATGTGACGCCATTTGATATGCATTTTTTTTAAGTCTTTACATTTTTTTGCTTATTTTCCTTGGGACTCTTTGAAATCCGCATGGAAATGGGTAACAGACTATTTCGAGCATTTAAGACAATGTGTAACTTTAGTGAGAATTCGCCCAGCATAACAACACTGAATAAGACCTGATCTGTGATTATTCTCCCAGAACGCACCTTGTCGATTTCCTAGGAAAAAACTGGGATTCTTTTAGTACCCGGAATAGCAAATGAACGAATGTCCACTACGAAAACCGGCCCGCCAAAATATGTCCCATTTCTACCGGAGAACACTATACATGTATTAGTGTGGTAAGAAATATGCTCCCTCTTCGCAACAAGTGTTGCTTTGTAAGTGTACTGTATGTATGCCATAACTGCTATATATATTGATTCATGATAAATGCAACTCTAGGCTCGTTCTCGGTCTTACTCGATATACGCCTGTAGAGGTATATACTGAATATAGCCATCTTTTTGGATGGATGGATACTTTGGCAGCTGGAAGATACAGGTATCCGGTTAAAGGCGTACCGCTAGCATTTCATCTCCAAAAGACATCTGTGTTGTTAGGGGCGTTGCTAATACCAATAACGGCCGCCACCACAGTGTTGTTATCTTGCCCTACGTAAATGTATTTTGTCTTATTTTCTGGCTTCATAAAGAGTAGTTCAACGAGCCGCTTGTCATGACAATCGGTGAAGACTTCAAATAAAATTGTCAGAGTGTGGACACTGTGCGAACATCACGGTAAGCGGTGGCTGAAGCAAACCCGAAAGTTAGCTATAAAGGAAATGACGTATTTATTTAGCTAGATTGAAAAGAATAGTAGGTAGTAAAAAGCCAGCGTCATCTAAGTTTAATGATTGATTAATATGAAATGCTCAAATGAGGATCCTCTACCATTTTTAAATAAATGGCAGAAGGAAAGCATCAAAATCTTGTCTTTTTTAATGAGTTCGCAACACAACCAAAGAGTCGACGATATTGTAACATGTAAAGTTGAAGTTCCGAATGTTTATTTGCATAGATTTTAAAGAGGCAACTAAACTTCTAATAAATGCTGTGCATGTCTTGAGCCCAAAAGAGCTTGAGTCTTGGTGAGAAACTGTTCGCTCAAATTAGGGTTGCGTACTAATTCTTCATTGACTTTTCAAGGAAGTACTCTTGAAATGTTTTCAAATTAACAGATTTCGGTCCATCACAAGGATCTATAGCCAGTTCTATATACCTAAACAAATGTTTAAGATGTTGCACTTCTTTTTTGTACTTTTTGGATTAATATGGGCGAAGTGTGGTTCTACGTTCGTCTTAGCAAATCATTCCACCAATTCCGTAGTCATAAAAACATCTCTTAAAGCATACGCAGCCTTGCGAAAAGCCAGCATGCGAAACGTCCGAGTCAAACTATCTATAGTCGGTTCAGGGGTCTGGAATGTATGTATATATATACGCCGTGAAAGCAACTTTAGAAGCTCAACTTTAAGCTGAAATGCCTAAACAGTGAAGTAAACAAATAGAAACCAGTAAACGGTGTCGGCGATCGAAAAACAAAGGATCTGATTTTAGGCAATTAACTTCTAACGCCCGCGAGGCAGATACTATCTAAAACGTCCAGTGAAATTTCAAATCATTGTTTCGATCACTTTTCTTATTTATGGACGAAATCCTATATTTTATATAGTTTTCGAAAAACCTCAAGTTAAAGCACCTATTGGGTTTTTAAGGGCATGTTGATCATTCTCTGGCTCTGAAGTCACGTATCTCAAGTGATAAAGGTCGCATTGGCGCTACTTGACAGCTGATGTTTGGCCATAGCAGATGTGGTGAAATTGCTGGAATCCTTTAATTCAGACTTTAAATATATCACTTTAAAAACTAATGAAATCCCTGCAAAAATGTTTTATAATCTTATTACAATAAGGTACAAATGCTGCCGAGGTCTACGACAAAATTTGTGATGTTTATGGTTCAGGTGCGTTATAGGACAGACTGGCCCAAATATGGTTCTGCCTTAACAGCCTTTGGAATGTCTAAAGCAGTTGATCGCGTCCGACAAGACATAGATCACATGTGCCCCACAATCTATTACAACGCCTAGACGAATGCCAAAGTAGGTGATGCAATGCGTTTGGTGGAATTGGGCATGAACCGTGGGTTATCACTTGCTGCCGTCTAGCAAAACGATTGATTCGGATCCCTACTCTCAACAACAGACATTATTACGACAAGCCGTAACCAATGCAAAAAAGCGTCGTCA